GGGGGAATCAAACCTTTGATTCACTCTCACTCTCCTCGTCCATAGCGAGATTTTGGTACTGGACATGGAGAGCAAGGATCTTAAGGTCCTGAATCATGGCTTGAATCATATTAGCTATCGACCTAAAAATGCTGGGGGCTATAGTTAACATTAGTATAAGTCCAAATAGTGGCCCCAAAAGGGGAAGTAGATAGGGGAGGAGTCCGTTGAAGCTGCTCCATAAGGGGTTGTCAAACAATTCTTTCCTCCTCTTGACTAGATCCTCCTGGAGCCTCTTGATCTTGTCTTGGACAATTCCCGATTTCTTGGCATAGAAGCAGCACCGTTCCTGTAGGGCTAAGCAGATCACTCCCTGCTCTGCAGTGAGTCGAGCCCCCTCTGGTTCTGGAGGACGACTTCAGCTAGAGAGTCTATTTGGTCTTGGAGGTCATTTATAGTTCCTGAGAGGGATTGAACATCATCAATTAGCTGATTGGAAAGCTTAGTATAGGAGTGTACAGCTACTCCTAGTCCTGCGGAGCCTGATGCCACAGCACCCGAAATTCCTAGGCCTAAGAGTAAGGGAGTAAATTGGATAGTCCTTTTACTGCGTCCTGCTATGTAATCAAGACTAGGAAGGGGAACGGGCTCTGCTCCTGGGATAATGTCTATATCGGGGAGGATAATAGTCTGTATGCATAATCCTGTCCAGTTGACAGGTAGGGCTGTGAAGGCCAGGCTACCCCTGCAAACAAAAACCTGCCCAGGGGCTGGGAAGAGGGGTGTGGAGTGGTTTGAGACCTGGGTGCACTCAGAGAAAGTCTGATACCCTACATCTAAGTCATAGCTATTGTTCTGGAACAGCCCCCTAAAACAGGGAGGTACTGAACCTTACGGGCTGTATTCTGAAGGGAAGGGTGAGGCTGCAGCTTCCAGCCTCCTGATGGAAGAATTCCCAGCGGGGAGGGCAAGGGGCATGGCTGTCCCAAGAGTCATACATAGCCAACAGTCTGCAGCCAGAGACGGGTTAGAGCCATTTAGAGATCGAAGGGTAGCCTCTAAGATGTCGGAGGTCTGGGCATCTAGATCGATGTCCCTGGGCTTGGGGAGAGCCAGAGGATGGTAACGGAAGGGTGGGTACAAGGAGTGAATCATCTGTTCTATCTGTTCTTGTACCTCAGCTTCTCTAACCCGATCAGTGCCCCCCACCCTCCGCCCCATCAGGTACGTGGATTGGGGCATGAGGCGACCAGCAGCTTGCCTGGCCAAGATTGCCTCGGCAGGAGGCTTGAGCAAGTTTGGAGTACCCTTGGCTACTGCTAGTGTCCCAGTCCCCTCCAAAAGAACCAGGATACATTCTCTGCAGGATGGCAGTTAGATTTTCCCATCTGTATGGGTGCACTGCTGGACCTCCCGGTAGCAAGTGGAATGCATTTCTGTGGCCATCTGACAGTTGGAAGGGCACGGTCCGGGTTTTCCCTTCTCTGGCAGTATAATTTTAGGTTTACTGACACACTTCCATCCCTGTTTAAATCTGCCCCCCGTTAAAGCCTTAAAAGTTAAGTAGGCTGTTTGACTGCCACAATCAGTTGTTTGGTAGTATTGGGATAGAGTCACTCCCGTACTCACTCCCATGCAGTCACAAGGGCTCCCATAAAGTTTCCGCACTAAGTCCTGTGTATTGGGTGGGGGCTCTAGCCCACCCTCTGCAGG